ATTTCTGAGAGAGAAGCACTTTTTGGAATTGGGGTATTTTAAAGAACCCCTGACCAGGCAGCCCTTAACACAGGTCATTTCTCCCCAGAACCAAAGCTGTAGAAGACTTAACTAACTTTAAAAAAAGTCAGTGTGCTTCCCTGCACATGCTCCAGGAACTGTAATGGTGCTGGTGCCTGCCCAAGACAGTCTGATGTTATTTTCCATCGTCCCATTGAACCTGGGCACTGACCTGTGGATTGGACGTATGTGGAAACTGTAATTATTCAAATCAATTTCAACCACGTGTCTTTCTTCTGAAGATCGTATTAAACAACCACACACTTAGCTGTCTTTTATCCTGGGAAATGTTTCCTATGGAAAATGCCAGCCTGTGCCCAGGTATACGGATCTAATACTGAAACCAAAGCTGTTATCAACACGGAATACGATACTTAACAGCCTACTTCCCTTAACTCCTTAACCTTAACAACTGATTCATACCAGGATCTGGCAATCCTATTCTGGGGGAACCTCAGCAACCAAAACGTCAGGTCGGTGTGTAGAGGACTTTGTTGGTGTGAGAAGGGAGATGTGGATAACTGGGCACACAACAGAACAGACGAGGAGAACAGAAACACTTTGGCTCCCCTTGTAAGAAAATGAAAAGGAGATAAGAAGTGAGAGGAGGGTTTGTAAAACTGAGCCAAAATAACCTCAAAGAAGCAAGAGCAGGAGAAGAATGGCAGAGACATTGAGATCTGAATACTAAACAAGGAAAGAAACTACTTCTAACAGGAAAAACAGTGGAAACTTCACACCCACAAAAAGATGCATTAAAACAGCAAAATGACACCAAATTACACTTCCCTGTGTTCAACAGCATTACTCACTCAGATGCAGAAGGACTCTGGTGCAGAGAGATATGCAGACATGACCCCCAGCTGGCGCTGGCTCGGGCTCAGCTGAGTGAACGATCAGATCCCTCTCCTGCCCTCCTTGAGGAGCTGCTGAAGAAGGAGCCACACGTGTCCCTGTGACAGGAGGCAGGGAGCGCTCTATCTCGGCTGGCTGGCAGATAAAAGAGCCCCAATCTGCAAGCACCGGAGGCCTCCTGAGAACAGCTGAGTGCCTTCCACCCTGGATCTGAGTGTAATCACAAATGCTAATCGACGCACAGACAGGAGCCCAGCATGTCATTCGTCACGTCTCCAAAGCTGCAGGAAAACCCCCCTTTCCTCTCCTTGAAGCAGCAAGGGACAGGAAGATTCCCTCATCCTCTGTACAAGAGAGCCTTTCCCTCCCCCGTCCCTGGCTCAAACCATCTCTGCAAGAAGTTTCACCCCCCGCTAACTCCTCCATTGTCTCAGACGCATTGTTTGCAAGTGTTCCCTAAAAATGCAGTGGAAAGTATTCAGTATTCCTGTTTTTAGGTCTTTCCACATCCCCATGTAACACCTGGCCTTTATCTTGTTACCTGTCAGACAGTGATAAGCCTGCTGCATGCAACCTCTGACCTATCATCGAAGATAAACACGATCCATCTTGTAGCTGTCATTTCTTTTCAAATCCTGCCTTCCACTGCTGTAGTTGTAGCAAATTACTTATTTTATTTGGGCTTGAAATGTGCAACTTTTCAAAACATATCGAGATAGGTAAAATTAAAAATAACACTAGCAATAGCCTCAAAACAAAGTTTCAAGCCTGGTCTTCCTGGCACTGGATTTACTGCTGCTTTAAGAGCAAGGAGGTTCCTGTACTCCTGCTCTTGTATATCTTTTGTGATGGCATTTGGATATAATTTCTGTGAGATTTGTCATATTTTATTCTACCTTTTTTTTTTTCTTAATTAGTCAACTAATAAGGCCAATGATAGGAAAGCAACCATTCTCCAAAGCAAGTCAAAATAAAGTGATGGGGTTTGAGTCGGTTGCTTAAATGTAAGTGGATAGGGACATCTAAAGTGCTCCAAACCATCACCAGAGCCCTCTGCCATCACTTCAGAAAGGCACGTGTCTCCCTCAGGTACTATCCTATTCTCTGCCAGCCCCACTGGGATGCCACACACAGCACTGATGTCTGCTTAAAGCACTGAACTAAACCCTGGGTGTCCTGAACAGGAAGGGACAACGCTTGTGCTCAAACACGTGCCAAAGCTTTGTTAACACTTTTGCCTAACACCAGCGATCACCCTGAACACAGATGTTTTACAGAAGCCATCTTGATGTGCTTGGCTCTTCTCTGAACTTTCCAAAGCATTCCTTTAGTGGCTCATCAGTTCTTTTCATAACCTCATCGTTGTGTGTTTATCCCAGCAACTTTATCCTCACTTTGCAGTCGCACCACCATCCAGAAATGTAGCACAGTCTTCTTACCCCATCCCTCCCACGCTGCTGCCTACCTCAAGCCATACAGGCACAAATTAGCCACGTTTTGTATGGTTTGCTCCTTACAGAACTCAGGTGGAGGAGGGAAAGAGATCACACTCTTATGAACTGCCACTTAACTACTCCCTGCATTTGCTGAAGGAGTTCTACGTTCTCTTCACTGATTCCTCTGTGGGTTGCCCACCATGGACAAATGAGTAACAGCAAAGGAAATTGAAGATGGACATCAGGGTGTGTCCTGCATTGCAGGAAAGCGTGGAGACTCCACCGCAGGTCTTAAGGAGCAGGATGGAGAAATAGCTGTCACAGGAAAGGCACAAGCACAGCTGATCCTGCCTTTGGGCAGAGGCATGGATTAGATGACCTCAAAGTACCTCCTGAGGATATTTTCCATAATTGAGAGTTGTATGCGCCATCTGGCCATTCCGATCTACAGAGGTTTACTTTAGAAAAAAAAAAGTGCAATACAACCAATAATTCTTCCTGACTCAGATGCAATGTTAGTGAGGGGAAAGGCATCTTCTGATTCTACAGAAGAAACGGAAGCCTTCAGAGATTAAACCACCTTCAGTGCATCTGCCCAGATCCACTTACCCTCCAGAGGCAAAATGCTGCCGGTTCTTTACTCCTAATGGACCAAACCACAATCCAGCTGCATGAGCATCACATTAAGCAACTTTCTCTTCCTTTTTAAAATGAAAAGAGAGGCAAGGAATCAGTGCTGTTGCATTCAGGTAGTTTGCCAAGGCTGTTCAGATGCTATTTCCAGATGTCAAACCTGAAGGTGATCCATGATGAAACCAAGCTTTCTGGTCCTAAGTAACAGACCCCTGATGAAAGGGGCTGCCTGGCTCTACAAGGACATGTGAGAACCCTCCCCTATTCCTTGAATCACAGATCAAGATCTTGTTTTTTAGCTAAGAGTCTAACAACAAAAGAAGAAGAAAAAAGAAAGAGCTTCAACAGCCCATCTCTATTTTCAGATGGAAAGCATACCACAAGGAAGGACCTAGAGAGTTATTTACCATCCACAGAGGATGAAGAGAATTCAAGAGCTGTTCAAAGCAAAGGACAAACTTTGCAGTGCAGTAAGAGACAGATGCCAATGCCAGCCTATGGATGAAAAAAATACCTCACTCTCGCAGCTGCGCAGAACTCTCAGGCAGAGCTTAGCCACAACATGCTTCGTTCCATTTCACATGCAAAAACGTGGGTGGAAACATCACACCAAAGCGAAGAGCTGTAGCTCAGTGAAAACGTTTTGGTCGAAATATCTGTGAAACCTTAAGCGTCCTGTATAGACGAGATCACATAATCTACAGCCACCACGCAGAAAGGAAGCGGTGAAGGTAGGGGGTTTTCCATCCACGCCAGATGGAAAAGATACCAGGTTCAAGACCAGAGGGGACACGCATGGCTGGCCAGCCCAGACCCTTCAGAGAAACGTAACTGAAAGGAAGAGTGAAGATTTACAACTGACCCTCCAAGCCTCCTGCTGGACTGAGCTTTTCCCAGTGGTTCTTAAGAGGGCTTAACCACATGGCTCAGCATAAAATCCACTATTGAAGATTAAACAAAAAGATGAATAGCTTTCAAAAGTTGATTACATTCAAAAGCAACAGTGCCAGCAGCCCTTATGGAGACATCCTATTAAAATATCAGCAGAAATAGAAATGCAAATACAGGAGACCTGGTAGGAGGCTTTTGAACCCACTGTCAGAAGGACAGAGGCTAAGAACATCATTACTGGGCTGACATCCCCTGATCTGGCACAGAATCATGCTGATTCCATTTTTTAGATATAAAAATATGTATGGAAAGAGAGACAGATTATGTACACGTGTAAATTGCAGACTTGTCCCAGGAACAGCGTTAAAAAGGAGTCTGCTTGCCTTTTTTTTTTTGTGTACCCTGAAATAGGTCATTTTTATTTTATATATACACATACATGTTTGCAGTCTGTACCCATGTGTTTCCCCTACAAATTCAGAGGTTCATAGCTTTCCTAGAATTTAATCCATTTGCCACATTAGACAGGATTTCGTTTCCATACTATTTATGATTACAATTACATTTATATTGATTTTTTAAAATGGAAATTCAAAACACGGTATTTTTTCCACAGGTCTAATTCAATTTAAATATTTCTCATATGCCTGTTGGTTGTTATCTAATCTTTTTGGCAATACGCCTGGGGGGGTGTCCCTCTGTAACGGCAGGAGCTGGCCATGCTTTCCCTCATGCAGAAGAATGGATTTATCAATTACTACAGTTCTTGTGTTACACAGGTCTGAGACTTACCAGTCAGATAAGAAACCTGAAAACAAATACATCCAAAGATAGAGTTATCTAATAGTTGACCATCTGCTTAGGAAAATAATTTTAAGTAGTTAAGGCGATTCTATTAACTAGTATTTGCCAAATGAGTCACGTTGCTTAAGTTAACCCTTCCTTTCTCCTCTGTGACCCCTCTGCCCAGAACAGTTTGGGAGAAGGTACTTGGCCACCTTTACTATTTTTAAGCTAGCAACAAAGCCAGCAGTAAGTCTGCACTCAAGATCTACCCCAAGCTCACACCGCACCAGGACATAAAAGAGCATTAAAGTAACCGGGGAGCTTCTGGACGACACTTACACCACACCACAACGCGCAGAAAGGTCTCCTCCCAGGAACGTCCCCACAAAGGCACCGCACGCCGGGAGCGCACCTGCTGCTCGACGCTCTCCTCCACGATGAGCTGCGGCACCTCCGCCAGGACAGGTCACCCCGGCAGGGCCCAGGAGCCCCGTCCCGCGGGGCAGAAAGCCTTCTCGCACATCCCTCCAGCAGTTCTGGCAGCAGCCGGCCCCGGACAGCCCGATGCCCCTTTCCTTCAGCAGCCCTCTCCCCGTAGTGCAGCACCACCGGGTCCCTCAGGGCCTCGCGGCTCCGCCGACATCCCCACCATGCACCCACGCCGAGGGAGAACCTGGTCAGGGTGGCAGGGTCGCTGCCCCCAACCTGTTTGGGTCACTTGGCACAGATGAGCCAGGGTCAGGGCTTGCGGAGCGAGGAGCGGGATAAACTGCGTGCGGGTTTAGTGCCGTCTACTAAGTCCCTGCCCTTTTTCCCTTTCGCCTGATTGCAAAGTGCGTGGAAATCTCCCTTGATAAACGCTACGGAGCAGCTTACAGGATGCAGGGTGCTCCTCGGGAATCGCTGTTTCACAGCTGATTGCTTTCGAGCACGAACAGCAGCCGAAGAGCCGGCAGGAGGAGGAGGAGGTCTGGGTGCAGGGGAACAAAGTCCAGCGCCCGCTGTCTGGAGGCAGAGCCGCGGGGCAAACAGCTCCGGGCGCGGGGGTGTGGCGGGGACTGACAGCTGGGAGCGAGCAAGGCGCGAAGAGCCGAAGAAACCCACGCGGGCCGGGGCAACTTACAGCCAAATCCCGCCGGTCCCGTGGGCAGCGGAGGCAGGAGAGCTCCGCTCAGGCGCCGCGGGGGAAGCTGAACCTCTCCCGGCAACGGCCGGGGCCCGGCAGCCGCCCCCCGCCGCCCCTCAGCGCGGGGCCGGGCCCGCCTCACCCACCTGCCCCCCGGGGCTCTGGCTCCGGCTCCGCGCCGCTCCGCACCTCACTGCCGCTGCCCCGCTCCCGCCCCGCGGCGCCCTCCGCCTCAGGACGCGGGCAGCCCGGCGGCCGGGAGCCGGCGGCTCCCCCTGGAGGGCGGCGCGGGTGGAGCGGGGCGGAGCGGAGCCGAGCCGGGCCGGGCCCCCCCGGAGCCCTCTCAGAGCCCTCTCAGAGCCCCCGGCGTTACCTGGCGGAGAGGCAGCACCGCGAAGCGGCTGCGGAGGTCCAGGGCTTGGCTTGAGGGACCTGCGAGTGACAGAAAAAGCGGCTTTTAGAGCCTTTCAGCCGAGTGTAATGACGGGCAGGGAGAGGAGGGCTTTCCCTGTAAGCAGCCAGGTCTTTCTAGGCTGAACCCCTGCTGAAGCCGACCGCCGGGCCAGGTGGCACCACACAGTGTTCCCAGGGTTACACACAAACTCCCAGCTCCTTCCAGGCTCTGCTTCCCCTCATCACCACCAGCAGAACGGAAAGGGGATCCTTGCACACTAACTACTCTGGAAGTGTTTAAAAACTCACAATAAAGATACTAAATATTTCACAGAAGTTCCACATTTCCCACTGGGCAGGCTGCAGCGCAGGCCACGGCCGTGCCTGTGGGGCCGCATGTCTCCCCCGGCACCCCTGCTCTGCCCCGGCACCCGTTGCTCAGCCCTCGGCCACTCTGAAGTTTGGAGAGAACCTCTCAAGAATTTGCACCCACTGCTCTTTGCAGGCATCTTCTAAGTTTTTTATTTCTGTTTTTTAAATTTTGCATCCTAGTGAGCAATTTATCCACATTGTCCCTATCGGTTTGACTTTACAAACAGGAAAACCCACTAGCGTGACTCCACAGACACCACAGCAGACCCCAGCCTTTGCAAACCACGTTCATTTCCACAGCGGCCAGCCCAGACTTCTCCGAGCAGGGACAGCTACGGCTGGATGCTTGCACCAAGCTTTTTTTGGTGCATCGACACAGTAGAAAAAACAGCAAACCTGGTACAAGCCACTTCAGCACCAACCTCAAAACCCGTGAGCCTCGAAGCATCAAAGATTTATTGCTGGCAGCAGGATCAGGCACCCATGCTATCTTCTCCGCTCTCCTCCTGGACAGAAAGGCAGGCTGGCACACCGGCTGCCTCAGTCATACAGCTGTGAATTACAGAAGTGACAGGAAAAGGATGGAGCACCACGAAATAACAAAGTGATTTTAAGAACCATATATACTGACAAACCAGTTCAAGAAAAAAAAAAAAACAACGGGGGAGATTATGAGAAATTTAGGAGCCTCATCAAAACATACTGCAATATTGATAAATTTAGAAATGCTGCCTGCCTACATGAAGCTTGCCAGAGCTTTTTGGAAAATGCAGACACTAGAAACAGGTACTGTTCCCATAACGGCCTCCCTCTTGCCCTGCACAAGAGGTAGTGTTTTCCACAGAGATTTATGCTGTGCACCTGTATTTGAAGTAGGGGTGCAAGCGCCATGCTGTAGCAGTTAGCTGCCTGCCGGGATCTGCTGTGCCTGTTCAGCATCGCTCCTTTCCTGGGGAATGATTTCAGTGTTGTAGAGGTGGCCTCCAGTCTTTGCCCAGATCCTCAAAAACATCCAAATGACTTCCTCCTATTGAAATTAATGAAAGATGAAAATCAAAATACAGGGAGCAAGGCTACAGTTTTTAAATATGATTTTGCCCCTGAGTACATTAAAAATGAAGTTGTTGCAGTCAGCTCACTTTACTAAGCCACTGGGTTGGTTTCTTCCAACAGTCCCATGTTCAATGCATTTTACAAGTTTCCCAAGTCACTGATGTTGATCAATTTATCTCTGAAAGACCCAAAATGCTTCACTGGAAGTCTCTTCTCCCAGTTGCAACTCTTCTTTGATTTTTGCAGTTAATCAATTTTAAGATTACGCCGATTTTCTTTTAAATCAGCAAGTCATAAAAGATGTAAAGCAAATATCTGAGTGATTTCACAGGGCTGGCTGATAATGGTACCGTGATAAGCTTCTAGCTTTAGAAATTACTTCTTTTCCATAAAGTCATGCTGACGGGCATTATTCAGGCTACCACTACCAACTATATTTGGATGGAATATCAGGTTCCCATTATCACTCACTGATTTTCTCTGTGCAGCTGGAAAATCTGCAGTGTTTCAAGATTTGTTAAAATCAATATTAACAGCTCCTGGAGCTCCTCAGCCAGTTCTATTATTCTTGCTTTTACTTGCTCATTTTTTTACTTCTGCACACGAAGTATTTACAATTAAGCAGCTGCTGTTTTATATCCCATTTAGCAGCTGGATAGCTTATCTTTCATTACTACAGTAATATTTAAATAAATGTTCCCTTCTTTTTGAATTATGAATTGCTTATTATTAATGCTATTGCTTCTGTCAAGTAACAGAACTGCACCATTCTTCAGATCATATTTCTTGTGTATATTCTCTGTGTTGTCCTTCCTGTAGATTTTCTGCTTATGTCCTCCTTTATCAGTGGTCAACAATGGCAATAAATTGAAGGTTTAGGAATACAATCAGTGTTTGTACTAACTATAAAAGGTAATATTAATCATCTCTGAAGTGGGGGGCAGTACAATAGAGCACTAATTTTCTTTCCCTTCTTTGCAACACTTGAAGGCAAAAAGACAGCATTGCTATGACTGCTATAGCCAGGCACAGTCTGAGAAGGGACTACATGAAGAGGAAGGCTGAAACTACCTGGACACATGAGAGCTTCCAGCAGCCTCAGCAGCTACACTGAAGGTACTGCCACTCGTCTAGAGCAGGCTGCTGGCTTGAGCTGAAAGAAGTCCAGGACTGCATGGAAAGAAAGGAAAATTTCCAGTTCTCCCAAATGCAGCCAAGAAAGCTTTTGCATTCCTAAAAAGCAGAGTTGCAATAACATACAGGACACTATCTCGTAACTGAACAAGCCAAAATTCTGAATTTTGGGCAGCTGAAAAGCAGCGATAAGACTATTTGCCCTCCTCAGACTTAGTAACTGAGCTAAAGCAATAAAACCTAGAAATACAGCGTAGAATAAACCTTGGAAAGCTTCCCTCAAAAGATGACAGCACAGTAAATAAAGACTTCCCACTTTAGACCTATCATGAAGCTCACCATTCACTTTGCTGATACTGCATTAGCGACAGCCTGCTTGGGCACATCAGTGAGGCCACTGTAAACACAAAACAGACTGATATAAGGACTGTAACCAAAACCAGCCCCCCACCGTTGTATGTAGCAAGATAGCACAAAAGGCATACACGTGTACTAAGGTTGCTGTATGGAAAACTGCCTTACAGAAAATGATCATCAGTTTGTCTTGAATAGAATCTGGAAGAATTAAAGTGCTTATGTAAATAGAAAAAAAAGATGTCATGTATATATACATATATATATGGAGGATAAAGTGAAGTACTTTTGCATCACACATCCTTCAGCTTCTAGAAACTGTCCTCAAACAGACAGCTCTGCTCATTAAACCATTAGCTATGAGTTATCCATACACTTCTGCTAGATGTGACAATTTCGAATGGGCCAGTACCCTAAATCAGTGGCAGACCAACATAAAGCACTGACTGGATGCCACTTCAGGGTTAATGGATAAGTGACAACAGCAAAGTTGTATATCAGTGCTGCATTGGAGTTAAGATCATGGTCAATGCTTTACTTTTACAGCATGAATCCTGTATGCTGTGTACACCAATCAGCAACAAACTCTTATTGCCAGCCTTTCACATCCATGCAGAGATTATTCTTTACCAGTTTTGGAGCTGGATGCTTGACTGAACTTCTCCTCCTAACCAGACACAACCATCTGATATATGCAAAACTGCATTTAAGAGATGCCTATTTTGTAAAAATGCATCAAACTGAGCATTAGCAAACATAAGCAATGTTGGTATAGAAGACACTTAAAATGACATGTTTGGACTTGTATGTAATCCCATACCTACAAATACTGCCTGAAACTCCCCAAAAGCAGTGAAAGGCACTTGGCTTAGCCTAAGAGAAGAGACTGAGGCAGGGTTATTCGAGGTCCTTTGGAAACAATAGCAAATCCTTAAATATTAAAAAACTATTACATATATATATATATATGTAATTTTTTTCTCTCACCTTGCTCATCATGAAATTTGTTAGCAATTTTAAAATAAACATAAGAAAAAAAAATCTGAGGAGGGAGTCCTTTAAAAAAGTCAAAAGACCAAAAGCCTTCTCACAAATGGTTTAATTCCAGCATACAGATTAGCTTAAGGAAAACGAGCCACAGTTAAGGTAAGATTTGTGCTCACAAGGAAACTGTAAAACCATATCCACAGCCCTGTTTAAATTCTGCCATTTGCACTTACATCAGGAACCAGTGAAGGATCTTCAGTAGTTTCAAGTCAGGAATTGGACTAGTCTCCATAAAAGGCACTCCCCAAAGAGACTGGCTTCATTTCTTCAAAAGCTATTCAGCGTGACAGAGAACGAGATGGAGTTCAATCTAAATTTAAGCATTCTTTGTAGACTATTAATAGAGGAAAACTGGTAGCATGAATCATCACGTGGGAGCTGTAGAGCAACAGCTATTTATTTTCTATAATAATATATAGAAGTTACCTTTATACAACACACTGTTGGAGCTCAAGGCCCAGCAAGAAGAAGTCAGATGATTCCTCTTCACTTAACACTATTCTCATTTTTTTTCTAAGGAGCAATTAGAGGGCAACCCTTATTTAACTTGACAAAATCCACATTGTGTACATCCAAGCTCCTGTTACAACACAGAAGAGACAGAAAGCAGCTACTGACCCTGCTGCACACCACTCCCTCCTCAGGCTCACAGCGACTCTGACCTGCTTGAAGTGTTTGTGCAAAATGATAGAACTTGGTACCTTTATACAGTTCAGTTAGTGCTTTAGCACTTGTTCCAATGTGCAAAATGATAGAACTTGGTACCTTTATACAGTTCAGTTAGTGCTTTAGCACTTGTTCCAATGCTTTTATAATGTTTGTACCTCTGGCCATAAACAAAATTGCTGCATGCCTTCCCTTTAAGTTTTTTCTCTGCTGGACCAGCATTCCTGCTACATTATTCTTAAACCACCCATCTTCAGGAAAGATTTTTTTGAAAGGACTGAACACTTTAACAGCTCCTGAAGTGCAAAACTACAGATGCTCAGCACCCCTCACACTCAAACCTTCCAACATTGCGATTTTATTTTTAAAGCAATAGGACTGGTTACATGCACTGCAGGCTCTACCCTAGGCTAACTCCATTGCAGTCTATGGAATCTGAATTTGCCCAGCCCAGAGACTCATAGTGTTAACATACTGGCATTTCAGTACTCTGTGGGCTATTTATTTTTGAAAAATATGATATTGTCAACAGCTCAGTGAATTTGTCTCCAGACTGTTATGTCTCCTTCTCAAGTTTCTTTCATTTTTAAGAGCTTAACTTTGAGGCTTCTGGCGTGAAGAGTCTAAAACGGTTTAAGAAAAGGAAGCATAAACAAGGGAGCGAGCTGTGCACAGCATTGGAAAAAAGTACAAGTATTTCCTCACACTATATAATCAATGCAAAAGTCTACCTGTAAAAATAAGTCACTCTACTGCATTCAACCCTATGTTCACAATAAGGGTAAGAAGGCTCCAAAGAACTGAATATCCTAAAGAGCAAAGAACATCTAAAAGAAGTTGAGATCTTATTTTTCAAACAGGGAATTTCTTATACAAAAATTTACTTCTATAAACAGCGTTCAACAAAACCATGGTGATATAGAGGGCAATGACAGTTGAAGATTAATAAAAACCTTAACATGGAATAGGACTGATGGCATCAGTCATTTATTTACTTTGTTTTTTTAAATCATAGATTTTTTCTAAACAAAGACTTGCACAGGAGAAGTTTCAGAGCAACTTTTCTATGAGAAAAGAGTATAATAAAACAATTTAATTAGATAAATATTCCTTTAATCTTGAGCTGCCAGGAATGGAGAGGCTAATTAGCTAACTTCTCTTTTCATAGTGCTGGGCTGCAGCATCAAGCACTAATTTATATGGAAGGTACTGGAGCTTTCAACCATATATTTGCTACTTTTTGAGCAATTTTAATGAATACTATACCTTACTCAACCATTAGGACTGCAAATGAAAAAGAAAATATACCTATTTAAGATACCAAAACACAAATGCAGGGCCCCAAAGGAAGATACTGTTGATACTAGCTTTTATGAAAGCTGGGCAAAACACTAAGTGAGGGAAGCTAAGAAAGGGTGAACAATGGGAAAGGCACTGCAAAGAAGTGCAGAGAATTCAGGATTATTATTTTTCTGTCTTAGCAGTAGCTGCTGGCTATTAATAACTTCCCATCTGGAGAAGGGAGTAAGCATTTTGTGCTAAATTAGTATCTGTGTTTTGAAAAGAATTGTATTTGGGAAAAACTGACATCCTCATGAGCCCCTCTTGAGTAAGTGCTCTGTGGAACCACAAACAGGGGAGGGGTGAGTCCAAGTACTGGGACTTCGTAACACACAACATAACCCAAATCTCTCTCTATGATCAAAGTCACCATAAAACTCTTTTGATCAGAATTTGAGTTGCAAGTTCTGTAATAATAACCTACTTCCTGTACAGAATTGAAGTGACAAGCAACCATGACTCCAGTCTAAGCTTTTCTGATATAATACAATGGAATATTATAACGCTATTGCTTCTGAGGTTTTTATTTTACTACTCCAGATAGCTGCGGTTCATTACAGTACAACCTCCCATATTATTTAACTGATTTAATTACATTCAACTTAAATATACTTATGGCACTAGTTCCACATTTTTAAACAAATTATCTAGTGACTGCTTGTAAGACAATTGGTAAAAACAAACAAACGAACAAAAAAAACTCTTGTTAGGGAATGCTATTTCAGTGACTACGGTTAAGAAAAGTTGCAGCCCCACAGATCATGCAGACACTCGTTTCAACATACCTCAGGCCTGGCCTACATCCTGCCCACTGCTTCTGTATTGACCTTCACGTTGTGGAGTGTAGGCGTACAAGTCACTTCTACAATACTGTCACACACTTGCTACAGAGAAGAAAAAACATCTACTTTCTGACACAAGATTTTACTACACACTAAAACATTTACTCTTAAGTGCAGAACTGAAGACCCATACTTAAAAACAGGATATAAATTGAGAACTAAGAAGAGTTCTCTTAAATCACTCAAATTCAGTGAGAATATTTCACCTCAAGAAAAAAGCAAGACATTTTCTTGCAGAATAACATTACTGAGTCAAAGGCATTTCTGAACACAGAACACACCAAACCTTAAAAAAAAAGAAAAAAGAATACCTTTAAGGAACAGATCGAATTGAAACACATCCGCTAACCAGTGCATTTAAGAACAAAGTTCAAAATAAAGAGGATCCCAACCCAAACCTCTGGATCAAATTTATTTCAGAGCGCTCAAGGCTAAAGCTCTGTAACTATTTTTACACCATTTCAGATAAAACTGAATTTAAAACCAGTTACCATCCAGGATAAATGAGAACAAATTACATTTAAGGTGTTCTAATCTTTATTTTCACCTGGAAATCTTACTTTTAGGCATCTGTTTTAAATATACTGAAGTGTTCAAATGATAAAATCCTCAGCTCCCCTCCAGCCCCTCTGATTTCCTGTGAGACAGAACACATTGCCTTACTTGGTTGGACTAAATAATATTTAAATAGCTTTAATCCTGCATTATGTATTCTATATTAAAGAAGTTGCCTAAATTGAAAATATTTGCTAGAATTCCCTTCTCTGTTGCTCATATTTAATCCAGACTAGGCAGATGCCTTAAATACATACCTCATATAGAGTATTCCCTATGTTATCATTTAAAATTCTTTGGGGGTAGATATCAAAGTATGCTGGTATACCAAAACAGAGATGACTTCCAGAAAATCGTGCAGTTATAGGCATGCAAATCATTGGTCTGTACTTCTCATCCACGGCACATAAACATCCAAACACTACTTCCTGTCACGCTTACTCCTGAAAAATCAGTGTCAGAAATGGCGTTAAAATATCCCTTTTTGTGGCAGTCTCACTCAAGAAAACAAAGACACATTTTGCTATTTGCAATCTTTATTTCATGAATAATTAAGAAGAAAACATGGCAACATTGGCAAATTGAAGGCATACATACTAAATACTCATACAGAATACATTATGTAGAAAGTAAATGCCCAGATCTTTAGTGGTCCTTGCAAACTAAAAGCATATTGGTCCTCCAAAAGGTTTAGCTTAAAATACGCTTGCTGACCTTTTAAGTTCCAATACCTAACAGCTTGTGCCTTTCAAACCAGAAACAGAGTGAAATACAATTTGAACACTTCCAAATTTTCCTCAAAACTATATTTCTCAGATCTAACCAGAAACAAAATATTTTTCCTCCTTATCTTTTAAATGCAGAAGCTATTACCCCACCCTAAATATTAAAGACTCAAGCACTTCTTGAAAGATGTTCAGTTTTATTAAAAGTCTGCATATGTACACATACACACACAAACATTTGCATGTGTGTATTAATATGTACATATAAAGACACATTTATGTAAAACATCAATGTATGTGAATGTGCAAATAAACCATTTGCAAGGGTTTTGGAATAGAGAAAAGTGCTTGTTCAGAATGAGAATTATTAAACCCATAGACGTGCTGTTGGGTCAGTCTAACAGCTGTGTTTCAAATGAGTACAAAACCAACACAAATCAGAAAAGCAGGATGGAAGAGAAGAGCTTTTAAGACCTACTGTTCTTTAACGTCATCTTTAAAGGCCATGGAAAAGGAGCTTTAAATTAGTTATTTAGGAGATATTAGTACTGGCTGTGGTGTCTATTCAAACAAGGTTAGTCCTTATCCAATATAGCGCTGTGAAGTTAGACTGAGACATCGATAAAATTTTGGTTTTTCATGAAGTCCAAAATTCATCACACTGTTCTGTCAATTCTGCCTCACACCTGAACTGAAAGTACCCTCACATCCATGAGTTAGAGGATACCAATTAATGCCCTTCTGACTTTGATCTGGAGAGTTGCCCAATATTAAATGGGATCACTGATATATTTCATAGACATTGAACAACTCTTGATCATTACTGACCTAAAGTGAACTGACGGTCTGGAAGCTAGCTATTCTATGTTTTGTTTCATAGTGTTATACTTTCTTTCCATTAGATAACATACAGAAGACATTTCTGTTCAAAAAACCCTTCAGATAAGTATAAAAGTGCTACTTAAAAATAGTAAAAATGATCCTACTATACATGTAAAAACAATTTTCTAACAAACTGAAATGTTGCAAGTTATGAGGATTAATTACTTGAGTATGTTACATGTACTTGTGCCCTCTTTACTGAGCTGATTCCCAAGTAATCATCCTAGCTGAACATTTGTAATCATTGGAAACCAGTAAAAGCCTCCAGAGAAACTTCAACAATGGAACAAAAAGAAGAGCTTCTTTCTCCCCATTTATTGAAAGAGTTCAGGAAAAAAAAATCAGCTATCCCATTATTGCAAATGCAGTCTACTGTCAAAACGGGTCAGTTCATGAACTGTGGAACCAGGACTGCCAATGGCTCCTCTGCAGCAGGAAATGTCCACTGGGCTTCAGAACTACCATATAAATACCCACATCACATGCAAATGAAATATTACATACGTCACTAGAATGAAAATGCACGGAATACATTGCTAAGCTGGGGCAGAGTAAGTTTCAAACCTTAACTTCCCCAAACAACTTGTTCGTATTCTAGAACACTATGCGAGATACAAAAGCCTTAGAAAAGTGCAATAAAACTAGCTTCACAACATTTTTTAGTTTCCATAAATACAATCTCATAAAAATATTATTAAACAGAAGCATACTTCCCAGTGGAGAATAAATGTGCCACGTTTCAGCTTTGAGTAAGTGATGTCGACTAAACTGAAACCCCCTAAAAATTGGGAATTAAAATGAAACAAGCTTATTAACGTCAGGCTGCCACAATATGCTGCAAGAAGTTTCCCCTACCATTTTGAAATCCACAAGTCCTGCTGAAACTGATGGCAACTTTTTCTGTAACTCTGGCAGACAGTGGCCTAAGAGTAAGGAATAGAATATTCCAAGTAAAAGATGAATGTCAGTGGGAAGGAAGTCATCTAGTATTCAGTAGGTGTTACTGAAGTTTCAGTGTGAGGGAATATGTCTATTCACACAGAATGAATTCATTTATGGAGGCCAGGATAGGGGCCTCGTCAAACTGAGTTCAGGGGTGTTGTAGCCCAAAAACTGGCAAGCACATAAGGAAAAAAAGACATTTTCTTGACAACGTTAACAGAAATCAGAAGTGTACAAAACTTGATCCTTAGTTATTTAGTATTAGTTATCAAGAAGTGTACTTGCTACATATTCCAGATGCTCAACATAATTGATTTGACAATTACCAAGCATACTTCAACATTGATACTGAAATCATAGGGAACATACAGAAAAAAACTTAGCTGAACAAAGGACTGGACAAGCTCAGCAAGCCAAAGAGTAATCCAAAACCCAGCTAGCCACTCTCCTTTGAAGGCAGAAACACTATTATAAATACCTTTCTAAATTAAACATTCTGAAAGATGCCTATGAACCTGCAACACATCCAGGGTGTTGGTAAATTTGGAGCAGGAACACCTGATGGATCCCCTGGGATGATGCAGCCCATATGGGAGGTAAGGAAGTCAGAAGAGTAGAGCAGTTTTAGTGTATTTTGCCAATCCTAGAATCATAGAATATCCCGAGTTGGAAGGGACCCATAAGGATCATCAAGTCCAACTCCTGGCACCACACAGGTCTACCCAAAAGTTTAGACCATGTGACTGAGTGCACAGCCCAAACGCTTTTGAAATTCAGACAGGCTTGGTGCAGTGACTACGTCCCTGGGGAGCCTGTTCCAGTGTGCAGCCACCCTCTTGGTGAAGAACCTCTTCCTGATGTCCAGCCTAAGGTTCCACTGCCTCAGCTTAACACCATTCCCACGGGTCCAAGCACTGGTGTTCTATCACTGGTGTTTACAGAGAATTATAATCAACACACACTAACCTGAAAAGCACAGCACTGTGTCTAAAACCCATGGACGACTACTCTGCTTTAACAGCACGTCCCACCAAATCATTTCTCAAACTGGTTAATTTTATTAAGTATTCATACACTCATGCTAGCTTAAGAAAGGGATTGCAGAAATTGAGCTTGGCAGAACATAAAAATAACACAGAAATAAATATTTGCCAAGTCAAGGGAAGGACCACAAACAAACTACATAGTTAAATCAACCTGTACATAAACGCTATTTTAAAATTCCATTTCTTAGGCCACCTCAGCAGGAGTATTTCTCATAATAGGCAAAAACTGGTGTCAGGTATACAACTGGCTTCCTTCCCAGAAGAATTGTGCCCTCTAATAGCTCCTGCTCAAGGCAGCCTGCAGCTCAACTGTGACTGTGTTCGTTGTAATAGGCAAATAAGAGGTAAAGTCACCACATGAGTCATATAAACACAGTTTTAAAGGCTTAACTTTAGCCTGTGCATAACTTCTTGCCAGCCAGCCAGCCAGAAGGGGCAGCTTTAGAAGAGACTGTCACATATCAGCTAAAAAACAGACAGCGTTCCCAAGCTGGTCACAAGCAGAACAAAGTAAGTTTGCACACCCAGAAGTTTTCCATATCTCCAACTTCCCAAATAATTTTGTTTGGAACTATGCTAAAATAAAATTTGTACTCAGGTCAAAACTGTATAGAAATTGATAGATTTGAGTAAAAGTGATGTTTTGCAAAAGATGCAACAGAATCCAAATGGTCAGTTTTTAACTGTCTAAAGCGTTAAATCGGGGAACTGAAAAACAAAGAATTTAACACTGAGATCATTAACAGAAGGGAGACACCAAGGAGAATTGTCACAGCTACAAATTGCTTAAGGCAAATCCTCAGCAGTTTAAACTGCTGCACAGTGTGCATCATCAGAGCAAGTGTTTCTTTCTCCTTGAGCAGGTACGACCAGAGCCCACCTGCAGCCAGCAGCATTAACAGCAGCTGCTGCATTAATAGCCAATGCATCAAAGCTGAGTTTGTTTTGCTCTGGCAGATAAAAGAATGAACAAAAGCATGACAACAGATTTCCCATGAACACAAAAACAGTGGGAATATTTTACAAAGAGAGGGAATATTTTACAAAACTGGAGACAAATCATCAGTAATTATCCAATAAATGATAAATGTAACTTGAGAGACACATTTTCTGTAAAAGAGACAAAAACCTGCTTTTAAATCAGAATACGTAGTAAATAAATACTATATTCTGGATAATCTATCCACAAACACAATTTTAAAAGGGAAAATTTTGTGCACAGTTTTTCAGGCATGAGAAGGAAAGGTTTTTGTGATGGTCACTAAGATTCACAACAGAGATACTGAATTAGTGCTTCCATTTAAATATACAAGACAACCACATCAAACTGAATCAAACCAAATGAACTGAAAACCAAGTCAAGTGTAAATCATTCTGAAGTCACTGCAATTCCATTATTGTTACTCTGTACCAAAACTTCATTCACTGATAGGAATTTTCGTGAATTACCAACATTAAACTTTTCTTTCCATCCCTTCTTTTCGATGAAGAAAACCCCACAAGTGTTTGCTCAGTTCATTGTTTAAGATCTTGCACCATCTAGCCAACCCCAATGCACATCTGGCTCTAACCTGACATCTCTAGAGTGGGAAAGTGTTTCAGTAAACAGGATCCAGAAGATTACATAGCTGTATCTACAACAATATGCTTGACAAATCAATTTTGCCCCCACCCCTGCAGCTGGCAATGAGTAACCCTGATATACTACAGCACAGGCATTTGCAAGGCACATATTAAAATGCAGTAATATAAACGGATGATAAAATATTTGTCTTTTTTTTTTTTTTTTAGTACATTCTGAAATATTTTCTGGACTGAAAAAGAGAGGAAAGTAAATCAGCAAAAGCCTCGTTTCATATGTAAAAAACACAACAGGCTGTTTCAGGATTAAGTGTAAGTAGGAACCAAGTAGAACAGTATCACCCACATCCAGAAGGGCTACAGCTATCCTTCTATTTGAAAAATTAAACGCTGTTTGAACCTTTAGAGGAAAACATGTAGAAGAATGTAGCAGGGTATTATGTTTGTTTGATATCTTTCATTGCTTCATTATGGTCACTTGGACAGCTGTATGGCATCTTATTTGTAAAGGCTCAGATATATCTTTATAAAAAAAAAAAATCTATTTATGGAGCCCAGTATTCCTTTACAGATAGAGGTTTAATCAAACAGACAACACCAAGAAGAAGTTTGCAGAGCTATGAAGTTCAAAATAAGATCTTTTATATAATTGCTCGTAACTTCTCTCTCTTTTTGAAGACTAGCAGCTCATCTTTCAAATGAAGGTTATCTGAAAAATGAGATTTCCCCTTCTACAAATGGCTATACCATGAAGTGTTATTTTGTTTAAGGACTAGTACAGTATTTTGGGTAAATGAAGTTGACAATTAGATAGAAAAAAATCAGCTTAAAAATTCAGCTGCTCATTAGTGGATTTAGAGAAAGAAATGTTGTCCTTTTCATTAGAAAAATATTTTCTTAAAATATATGGCAATGAATAAGAATCACAGACAAGGCTGTCTGTTCAAGGGAAGAGCAGAAATTTTTAAGCACAAACGAGCATAAACTGGAATTTAGTAAGAGATGCAACGTGAAACAGCAAGAGTGGGTATTTCCTATAGGAATATTCTTTTTGAGACTTATTTGAAGAAGTAAAATAAAAATATTCGAAGAAATATACGGAAGAGAAATTGTATGTCGGACTTTTATTAAAATCTGTTAATGAAGATTCTTCATTTGAAGCCCCTCTTGCAACAATTGTTTTTAGATAGTGTTGGCTCTTCAAATGCACCAACTGATAATGTGAGGGTATCTAGCTACTTCTAGGGACATTCAGTCTAAAGAATTGTAAGGATGTATGAGACACTGTTACTCTGAAAACTTCTCCGTAGACCCTCAATGTGGATTAAGTAGTTATTTAGCAACTTTTCATAATTCTCACAGGCACATTTTTACTGTGTTACAGACCTGTCAGTGCAAGCACTGTAAGAAGTAATTTTATCTAATGCTAACTGCTGAATTATTATTCTTCACGTGGGCTACGTTCTTCAAATGATAGCTTTTGAGATTTGGCAACAATTCTGAGTTAAATCTGTGCTTTTATAACATGATGAAGTTTCACAGATACCAAGCAGAGTTGCATTCACTGGGTTAACATCCATGACATTCAAACTGTCCTTAACAGTCATAAGAGCACCATAGGAATGGCAGATTAATTTTCTTAATAACAGGGTTACTGTGTTGAAAGAGCATGTGCTTATAAATAGCAGTTGGTACAGAACTCACTTCTAAAGTAGGCTTCTGCTTAATATTAATAAGACATGTTCAACTGTGGCTTAACTGCTGCTAAGTATTCAGAAAAACAGGAGGCAGAAGCAATGGCAGAGTGAAGTTTTCCCTTAATTTGACAAACAAGGTTACAACAAACATTTTAACAGCTTATGACAAATGGATAGATGAAATCATTCTGAGACATTAGCATTCTGCACAAAGTCCTGAAGTGCCAGGATGTATCAATTCAATGATAGCTAAGGCACTTACTTGAACTCTTTTGCCCGAGAGCTGTTACATGAATTCAGGTACATTTTAGGAAAATAAAAGCTGATCAAAACTAAAGTTTCTCAATTCCTTCCTTGTGACAGTGAGTCTTTTCCATGCAATATTCACGACTACTGGGTCTTCACACGTTTCATTAGTTCCTCCACAGTTCTTGTCAGAGAACATCTCACCTTCTGCCAGTCAGATGAAGACGTGTGACATCAACGAAAAAACACACAGGAAACATGGCAAAGCTGGATTTTGAGACAAACTACTTCATTATTACATCTTATTGAAAGTATTTTCTCTGCAGAGGAAACGCTATCCCAGTTCCAAAATTCTACCACAGATATCCATGACGTTTGCTTGTATTGCTGTGAAGTAAAGCCTGGGGTAGCTGTGCATGCTATACAGGCAAAGAAGAGGGGAAAGAACAAGCCAAACAAGGGTTGATTACTGATTCATTTCTGTTATCATGGAAGCACAGAGAGGTTGACAGATTCCTTTAAGTACAGCGTACCCTGAAAACCAGGAGCTGTACGTGCTAGTCTTTACAATCCGTAAGATCGAGTTGGAAGCCACATCGCTGTGACAGAGGTAGGCTTATAACGAAGCTTTAGAATGAAGAGTTCTTCTGTGCCAAATTATTCGAGGTATCAAGACCACTTTTCCACTCAAGTTGTTGTTATAGAACAAAAGCTTGTTTTCCTAGAATATTGTGCACATTTTGAAGGAGGGAAATAGCAGTAAAGGCAGTAACTAAATCCTCATTAAGAACTCTACTGTCTTGGGGTGCCATAGGCCATGGGTGGAAGATTCACACTCTGTGGTATCAGGACACTACAGAAAGTTCAGTAATATGATGCCATGTTATCCATTTCCTTCTCAAAGCATTAGCTGCACATTCAGTCTCCTATATGCTAGAGAATCTATTCACCTCACTCTCTTAGGAAAGAAAGCTTCAGGAAGTCTGGCTGGAAAGGCAGTACGTCAGTAGTCCAGGCTCTTTAGGCTACATAATTAATCTGAATAGCTTAATAACTTGGGTTATTCCAAGCAGCGTGGCAACAAGTTCTTGCTTTCAACAGTTGTTTCCAAGCTTAGTAGCTGAAGCAATCTGAAGCAATCCAGAACAGTGTCACTCAAGTTTGAGGGGACTCAAATGTTGCCAGTTTTCAGTGAAATGGGGATTAGCATTTCAGTAAGATTTCCATCTGGTAGCTAATGTTGGTTCTATCCCATGAATCTTTTCAATTATTAGGGTTTCAGGTTTCAAAGTATTTGTAAATTGCTGTAACATACAGCATGACATTCTGCCAGTCTGGACGTTCAGTTCGCACCATTTCATTGATGTCCTGTCACAGAAAACAGATTGGTCAAAATCAGGAATAACAACCTCGTGAGGAACGCGGTAATATTTTTACAGATTCATGGTAATGGCAAATCTGAAAGGATCCACAATCTAAAGTACTGATGAAGAAAATTCTCATACATCTGGAAGAAAATTCCTCCATACAAGTTTGTTACCTTCAGAATGTAAACAGCTATAAACAGGATATCTGTAGATAGACATTTCAATCTCAAGTCAGAAAAATAGCTAACAGCGAATACTGAGCTGTGCCCCTTTTAGTACAATTAGCCATCACATCTACCCAGGAACTGAGAGGCACAGAATCAAAGCACAGATATTAACTGAACCTAAAGGTCAACATTTGTACCAGGATAAGAGTCAATAAATGACGATCTCACTTTACAGTAGACCTCTGAACTTGAGATTACTTTGATAGGTATTTTTGAGTAAAGAAGCAAGGAAGAGGAAAGTTGGCTTTACCGCCAGTTTGGGTACGTGCAAGATTCAAAGCATCAGTGCGTGTTTAACTGATAGGCCAGTTCAGGCGTTCCTTAACAACACTATGCCAGACTGTCCGGGAATAAGCCAGGCAAACACAGCCTCACTTACCCTTTTCAGCACACGTACAAAGGAAAACAGCAATGTAGTTCCTAAGTGTTTTTATTTACTGTAAGGAAGTGTTTTGTAAGCTTTGGTTACAAGAATCTCCAGAATTTAAGAAAGAGAAAGTTTTTGTTAGTTTGTTTTTAATTCTGCACATGAAAGTAGCTGAACACTTTCCTATTCTGGGAACAAATAACTTCCCCTTATGTTACCACTACTATTTGCATACAGTAGTTTTCAAACCCTTGTTCACCCTCCACCCATGGTCAAGGAGGAAAACGAAACAAAACACCATGCACACTGGGTACATAGGTATGTAAATAAATACTAAATCCTTAAGATGGACACAATTTGCACAGGGGATTTAATTCCTTTTAATTTGCTTTTTCAGGATGTCTGTAATTAAGTACATGGCAAAAATCAAAAGGACAAACAGCAATCACCTAGTCTAAAGCTAAATTATGTAAGAATTACTGGGGTTATTTTCCACAATCTACTTCTTACATCAGCACTTGGTAAGAAACTTCCAGATTTCAAATCTCTGACAAAGCTGAAGTAGTAATGCCCAAGAGCTGCATTGCCATTGTGAGCAAATACAATGGTGGAGTAAAGGCTCTGATAAGGATCAAGGAAAGTGGTATTTTTAAAAATGTCTGACTTTGTTCTATTCTTAGTTGCTAACTATGGCAGCTTTGTTACAATCTAGGTTACAAAAGTATCACTTGAGTATCATTCTGATCCTGGCAATTGTACCCAGGACCAGAATTTCTGCAATTAATCACAAAGGGCTTGGATACTTTCAATTCACTACCTTCAGGAGTCTTCCAGTAAATACTATCATATAAAAAACTTAACTCCTTTACGCTGAAATTTGTGTAAAAAATCTTATAATAAACAATAATTAAAAAAAAAATCAATAACTTACAATCCCAACAAATTAAATCTAAACATAAGTGTCAAGGTTTTAACTATACATTACACTGAGCAAAAAAACAACTTACATAGCTTGATTTATAATTCTGGAAGTCCAACAGAGGCAAATGATTAGAAATCAGGTCAGATATGGGAGAGAATTAACTTATTCTTGAAGACAGTATCACTTAACTATTTTTCCAATTAATCTCAAAAAGTACATTGTCTTTATTATGGTTTCTTATTTCATATTGAAAGATGAGATTTTTTTTAATCTTCCTTTTATATATTTATAATATATATGAGAGTTTATCTCACAGAACCATTGGATATCCTGAATCAAAAGGGACCTGCAAGGACCTTGGAGTCCAACTCTTGGCTCCACACAGGACTATCTAAAAACTTGTCTGAGAGCACTGTCCAAACACTTCAGCCCAAGCAGGCTTGGTGCTGTGACCATGTTCCTGAGGAGCCTGTTCCAGTGCCCAGCCATCCTCACAATTAAGAGCCTTTTCCTAACACCCAACCCAAACCTCCCCTAATGCAGCTTCATGCCATTCCCCATCTGTCATTGGGTATTATGCTGTTGCTTTTGCTGCAGCAGCTTGAGTGCAGATCTTTATCTCAGTCACTGTTTTAGTGCAAAAAAACAGTATTAAGTTGTTGACCACACTGGGTTTATATTAGACTGACAGAGATTAAACAAAGTCAATTATGTATGAGCGTATCATTTTTTTCAGTCAAGTCTGATACAGGGACTACAACATCTAGCTGAGCTCATCTGCTATTATTTTTAAATATTAAGCATCAAAATCTTTCAAAAGCACAAAATAGAATCGGTTGATTTTTACAAATGGGACATAATTCATTCAGTATGTATTTAAAACTTACCAGAGTAGATTTGATGCCAACACTTTCAGCTGCCTGAAAAGCCAAAGTGAAATTTCTTCTCTGCATGAGATAAAAAAACATATTAGAATCTAAGGAAATACTACTTCAAACATAATAAAGTGTTGTTAAGAATGTTTATAGTAAAGCTGCTACTTTTACTTCAAATGGAGTCTATAATTTGACATTGTTGGTTTAAAAAGAGCCATAGGAATGAACATGTCCTAATATCATATAAAATCTTAAGAGAACTTTTAAATTTATTGATTCCTTATTCATAAAATAATGCTGAAAAAAAACACAATGAAGAATACTGTCTTTTTAAATGCTAATTAAGTGGTTTACTCTTGAAAAAATAATAAATATAAAAATCTCTGCAATGTTCGTGAAATACTGTTGTATGTTTTTGGAATTACCAATAATACATCTCCAGATTGCATACCAGTAGGTATCCATAACAGCACACTAGGATACACACAGAGTACTCTACAGTCTTAACATCTTCAAGCTTATCTTCAGTTTGCATACAACTTAAAAGCACAGTTACTTAACAGTATGATAAAGTCGGATAAAAGAACATCCTTGTGATATTGAAAGAGATAGAAGAAATACTGAAAGATAAAAGTTTGATGGATTTAAAAACTAAGTTTAAGTGCTCCTTGCTGCTAAAACCTTAACTGAAAACATTTCCCAAGTGTTAAGGTAAAAAACAAACAAACACACAAAAAAAAAAAAACAACAAACTCAGACTTAAATTTATAATCTTCCTTTTTTCAAAGATCTTATAATATTAAAAGGTTATAAGGAAAATAGCAGTAAGGTAGTCTGAAATGTTTCAAGTATGATTCTTAGTAAGACTGCTTTTGTATTTTTTATTTATTTATTTTTAGAAATTGAACTTGTTTCATTTTTATTAGCCCATGTTAATTATTTAGCCTCAGTCCCAGGAATGGAACTTTTTAATGTCATACCTTGTCCTGGCTGTTTAGTTCTTGATAGGGAATATGGGCTGGGAGATATGTGTGGAGGACAGCACAGAAAGCCAAGCCATCATTCCAGCTGCTGCTGAAGTTCGTTATGTCGATATTCTTGAAGGGAAAAATACAAACAAAATAAAATTAAAATCATAATCTAACAAATGTCAGTTCTACCAACACTTATTATTTTTTTAATTAATCCTTTGAAGAAGTCAGCACACAAAGCAAACAGCCTAACATCAAAGTTCTGTAGTAATAACCCGAAACACACTACTATGGCGAATAAAAAAGTCATGGTAAAAATGTCAGTTAACTTACATATTACTTACACAAACTAGCTAACATTAAACATCAAAAATGTGCAAACACTGTTAAAAGATGTACAAAGATAGGCCAGAAAAAGTTTTAAAAGAATAGATTTGGTATAATCGTACGCTGCAAGATATAAAAGCAAACGTGTAACAGACACGTGCCAGGACTCTTTCTAAAATCCCCGAAATGAATAACATGCTAGTACTTCTGTTAAGACAAGGTTTTACTTCTGTGCTTCAACTGCATTAATAACCAGGTAAAATTTGTGGAAAAGTATTTTCTTTTCTAAACAAACCATTTCTATACAGAAACTTATGTGGACAACATTGCAAACAGAAAATAAGTTGTCATTGCAAATAAAGATCTTCAACAGATTTAACAGCAACAGCACTAAGGAATCAAGTTTAGGGGATTGAAACCAAAAATGAAACATGCGGTCTTGCACTCCTGATCCTTTGGTTCCAGTAGGAAACTCAGTGGTACTGGTAAATCAACCTCCTGAGACTGCATACAAGGTTACTGTAAAAAGAGGCAGCCTCGTCCAAACGAGTTATGAACAAGATGCCTCAGTGACCTTTTAAATTACTGTACACTTGGCTGTTGGCAGTCAAACAATGCTACAGAGGCTAAGTGGGTAGCAGTCAGTTTAAACTTTAATTAAGAAACAACCAGTGACAACTCAGTCTTTTGCCCCCCCCCCCCTTTTTAAGACCTCTTTGAAGAAAAGTGACTATGCTTTAATACCTAACTCTCTTATCTGGGTTTTAGCAGAAGCTAACCAGTTCCCCTACCTAGTTTTTAAAGCTTTAATACAACAGGAATTATTTATAACCTCCCATCACAATCACAGAAATGACTGCACAAGTCACCTTTTCAGCTGACACAAACTTAGCAGGCATTGCGGCCTTTGACAGGACACCAAACTTTCCATCCCTCTAGCAGAAGGACCCACACGGGATCCATTTTAGAGGCAGCAAACATGCTGATGACTAAAGCAGTCACATTTCATGTGAAACCGATGATCTGGATTACAAATGGAAGACAACTGCAACCCCCCCCCAACAGAGGGAAAAAACAAAACTAAATGCAATTTCTAGAAGAATGTGAGGGAAATCTCCATTTCCTGCTCAGCTTTAGCACTTTTAATACAAAGTCTGCAAAAGGCAGGTTCAGACGACGGTGACGTACATGTACGTGCTCGCACTCACAATGCCCAGGGCAGTGGTCTGAGCCCTGCCTGCCGCCCAGCCGCCTGCTTGCGAACGGAAATGTCATTGTTGGAGACCCCCAGTCTGTGGGAACGTGTTCTTCACACAGCTTCCTCAAGCCACAGGGATGGGAAAATAATAATAATAATAAAGGAGAAAAAAAAAAAAAAAAAGACGCTCTCGCTCCTTTCTCCTCAAGAGACAGGAAATTGGATTTAAATCAATGCATGTTTAAAACTTTTTTTTGATGTTACTTAAATTAGGCAAACAAATGCAAGGCACAGCACGAGACTGGGGGAAAAGGGAAAAATATAAGTAAGGAGGGATGCTGAAGCATTGCTGAATCTGATTTTCAGTTTCCAATACACCAGTTTCCAGTCTTGTGACTTAATGCTGCTTAGTTTCAATGAGTACCTAATGAATTGCTACTATGGCAGAACACACTATATGTACTGTAGATTGGGAATTCATAAAGCCTGTCACTGTATAATCAAAATAAAGTTTGATAGTACCTTGCCTCTCAAAGCTTACTATTACTTTGTTTGTTTATTTTAGATTGATTGGCTATGCACAAAGATAACTGAGCAACTACTAGCATGATAAATAGTAGCTACAGCTCATCACCTGATGTTGTTTACAGCTTATACAAGCACAGCAAAGGAGCATTGCAATGAGGATTCTGAAGAAGAAGGTTTTGTGGCTGGCTACAGGGAGAAACTCTCCCAGGCTACTCCACACATTTCAGAGGCACAGCAATATTTATTTGAAAATGCAAGAGTTTGACCTGGAACACCAGCATCACTGAAGCAGAGGAGATCCCAGTACTGAGAGATGGAAGAATACACAGCCTTCAAAGCAAAAATTATCACTAAGATTGGAAATTCAGGAGTACAGAGAACGAAAAAGCAAAAAATACAGTGCTGTTAAAGCAGCGAGCTAGAACAGCGATCTCTGCAGCAAGATTCAGGATGGGCATCAACAAGCAAGAATGCATTCGTCAAAATCAGAAAATATGATGCGTGATGTGTATGAGAACAGAACCTACACCTGAGGTTTAACCCTGTGGATGAAGAAGAAAGATTACTGCTCAGACTATAAGAAGAAAGAAATTGCCAGGTATCAAAATAGTCTGCAGACAGTACAGAATAGAACTATAGAACAATGGTGCTGAAGACAGAACTCCTCACACAGTTAAAAAAAAAACAAACAAACAAACAGGAGGAGAGCTGAGCTCCAAACTCAAGACTTTTTTTTTTTTTTTTTTAAAGAGCTCTGTAAGTTTACTCACTTACCCTCACGAGTGAAAACGGGACAAAGTGCTGAAAATAGCAAATGAAACTAAGAAATTTTTTTCCTTAAACATTATAGCTGTATAAGCAAAATATCACTTCAAATACTGTTAACATCCACAGAATGTGAAATTCTGAAAATAAACAATGGAAAAAAAGAGACTATTTTAAAAAGTTCACATGCAAGTTTGGTTGGTACTCAAGAGGAACTTGGAAAACCCCGTTTTCCTAAATCTTCCTGTAGGGTCCAGCTTTTATTATTAAGACAACAAGCAGAAAACAAATCCATCATCCAAGAATGTTAATGTATCCAGAGAAGCTGAATTAAATACAACGGAAGGAAACAATTAAAAGGGACTGGTTTCTGTTTCCAATTGCTCCAAGCATTAGGAATGATTATTACCTCTTAGACTGAAAAATTGTTATATTGGTCAGGCACAAATCTAGAAACTGGACAAACTTAAAGTTTAATCTTTTACATAGAGCTTTAAGCACATAAATGGCACTTTTAAATACAGCATAATTTTATTTCCCAAATGCTTTTAACTACTTGTGGTTTTTTGAAAAAGCTTGGTCAGTATAATGAAATCAATCTTGCATTAAGCTCTTATTTCTCAAAGACCTGACGGTAAACAGAACATCAGCCTAAGATCTCTGACATAATTTCTTCTTTGTTACTGCTTTTATTAAGTAATTGGCCCTATTAAGAGAATTCTGCTGGAATCTAGTCCGGATTTTTTCTTCAAGCCATTTCAGACCACAAAATATTAAAGCAATCGAAGGACATACTTTCAGATAAATTGTCAAATGAGGAATAAGCCTTGCTGGAGAGAGGCGAACCAGGAGTTTTATCAGTCCTTGTCCATTAACTTATAACACTTAGCGTGGGAGTGAAATCACTTCTAGTATTTTGGAGAGATTTTTCACAAAAAGCATTTCTAACAGAGTTAAGCAACAACCTGTTGTGATAAGATCCGTGGAAGACGTGCCAACCAGGAATTGCAAATCGAGTTAGAAGAGTGATATTTTTCTAGAGACAAAGTATAAGCAAGAATATAACATTTCAAGTAATCAAACAGACCAAATGCTATAGCCCACCCTACAGCTCTGACCAAGTGGGAGAACAACCAATGGCAAAGGAACACGCTGGTGGACCCACAACCAAAAACATTTCAAGCATGACTCAAGATCCTGTTAAGACGCAAAGAGCACAGTAGCAGAAGTCAACATAAATGAAATAAATGAAATAAAATTCCCTTGTGCTCACAAAGAACAAAAAAAATGTAAGAAATTTCTTCCTGAAATAAGGTTAAAAATGTAATAGGAACAATGTGGTCCATCAACTTAGGCTGAAATATGATAGCGGTTTAACTGTAAATGAACTGAATTTGAAGATGAGTCAGCAGTGCGCAGCAAGGAAGGCAAACTTTGTTTTTGCATCATTAAGGCTGAGGGATGGGATTATTACACTCTACTGGGCCCTTGTCAGGGTATACCTGGAGTGCTGGACAGAGTTTTGTCCCCCCAGCTCAAAACAGTCATTGAGAAATTAAAGAATGTCCAGCAGAGGGTTACCAAGATGATTACAAGGTTGAGGAACCTGACCAATGAAGAAAGGCTGAAGGAAGCAGGTTTATTCAGCATGAAGAAGGGAAGTGATCAGTCTTCCAAGGCATTATAGAGAAGATGGAGCTACCATCTTCCCATGGCTGCATGGTGACAGGACAAGAGGCGATAGGCAGTTTGCTTCCAAGGAAATTCTCTCTGGCTGTAAGAAAAAGGCGTTCACCATAAACCAATTAAATTTCAGAATAGGGTGCCCAGAGAATGGAGAAATCTCCCTCCCTAGAAACATTCAGGACTGCTCAACAGGGTTCTGTACATCAGTCGAAGGGCTCTTCCAACCTATGACTTTTCTAGGATGTTTTTTAACCAGTGTAATAGTAATTTAAAAATTGTGTTATTGTTTCATTTTTTCCCCTAAATTAAGAATACAGACTCTTACAATCAGAGAAAGTATTTTTTTAATGCAAGATACAAATATCTGTAATTCTGATGCAACTTTTTTTCGCCCCCAGAAAACGATGCTGCTAAAAAAGCTACAGAAACCATGGTTTCTAACTTACAGTTACAAACTAAGGACAAAGTTTCCTTAATTATCTCTTCAGCGGACATACCCACATCTGTCTTCAATCTCCCTGAACTACAAATATTACAATTTAGGCAGAGAAGCATACCACATAGCAACTATTTCTCCAGCCCCTGCTCCACACAGTAAAGGATGTTCCCACATCCTAACTCA